AACTATAATTTCAACATCTAAGGAGTACCAGACTGAGGGATGCTCATTTATAATCATTGAGCTAGAAAGTAACTTAGAGATCATCTAGTCTTATGCCCTGTCCAATGCAGGAATTATATATTACAGCATCCTCTGCAGATGGCCATCTAGCCTGTGACTAAACACCTCCAACAAATAAGGGTCTAGCATCTCTCACTTTGACCAACTTTTATCATTATGAAATTCATGATGTGCAACTGAAATCTACATTTGCCAAATACTTCAAATATCATTATTGACATTTTAATTATTTTGGCTCCCTTTCTATGTAAAAAGATATGGCATTTGCACCTCCCAAAAACCTGAATGGTGCCAAAATGCAAACAAAGATGAGCACCTGGACACCCCTGAATCATCAGCTCATGAATGATAAGGTAAGTTTTAGGAACTTTATAAATTATGAATCATTTGTGTCCTTGCCCACTTTCTTAAGAAGTATGCAGGCCTCCAGCATGTTATGCAGCAACAGTATCAAGATCATTCTTGTGTGATTCTAATAAGCTCCTATTCTGCTTGGAGAATTGCCCTAGATAGAACTCAGGTAGATCACATTATAGCAATACTTCAGACTTTCCAAACTTGATTTCCTTCACATATGTTGAGACTATAAATTGTCATTGCCTGGCAACCTCACAACATTGCAGAGAGCTGCAGTCACATGATCATCATTTGCAACCTTCACTGCTATCTTCCCACAAGCAAACTCAGTAAGGAAACCAGCAGGAAAAGTTGCAAGACACTCCCTTCTTCAGCTCCTTGAATGAGAAGAGAAATGACTTCTAAGAAAAATAAGAAAGTCCAATTGCCTCTTGAAAAAACACCTTTGGGACAACCATGACCTGGATGACTGAGAATCTCCTTAGATATCCCTCATTGTTTACCACCACAGTACCCCCTCCCCACCCACACACAGCCTATGTCAGCCCTCCTTCAATTCACTTTTGGCCAGGATTGGCTCTGCCCAAGGTCTCCAGCCCCTGTAGCATGCCTGCACTCCTTACCTGGGACTCCTGTGTCTTCCTGTGTATCTTGGGGTTACAAAAGCAACCAGGAGGTCCTAGGATTCCCATCACTAAATAATGTGCTCATGTGATGTTATGCTTTTGGATCATAGTGCTTAGCAATCCAGTCCCAATTTCCATCATAAGAGCAGTTATCTTTAATGGCTGCCTTGTACAGTGACTGTTAGCAGTTATGATAGTGATGAAAAAGTAGCTTGGCAGCCAATCCTTGCATTTATGACCTTTGCTTGTCTAAAGCAAAGAAAAGCTAAAGTAAGATCATAAGCAGTCATAGTTTCACTTAGCAATCACTTCTCTTAACAACCAAGTTGCTGGTACTAATTGTGTTAGCTTACTTGCTGCATTTTTTTAACTTCCTAATTTAACTTATAGCTGTAGGATTTCCTGATGGTCTCTCATCCACCTCCTAACCATGTCTAGCTCTGTTTAGCTCTTTGAAATCAGGCAAGGTCAAGTAGATGCTGCCATCTGTGTTTTTAAAATTGTGTTTTAATTGTTAACAAAATTTAAATAACTACCTAGTTAATCTACTTTCTACATACAATGGTACCGGGTATGTCAAACATTGAAAAGAGTTTTGAACTCTCAGTAGCTGGATTTTTGTTTGTTATCTCTTCCAGCAAGCTCTAGGAAAACACTTTTCACAATATTGACCACTTCTAAATCTAATGAAACTAATCATCTTGTTTAAAAGTGGTTACTGGTGGTTTTAAATGTTTGCATATTAGTTTTTAATTTGTTTTTTAAGATGTTGTTTTTACCTGTTGTGAACCTCCCAGACATCCTTAGGTGAGATGGGAAGTCATACAAATTGAATAAATGAATAAATAAATCTGTAGGTGAGGAGGTTCTCTGTTCCATCTAAGTTTCTTACCAGGCATGGTTGAACATACCTTAACCACATTTTTCCATGTATCATTTCTCCCTCTTCATTTTTCTGGACTTATAAAACCATTTTGTCCACTGAGGACATACTGGAAATTCTAATTACTACAATATTGTATAAACTTCAAATTGATTTTTATACATTTTAAATGTATATTGCCTATATACAAAGTTTAGGCAGATTCACAGTCTATAAATAGCCATGTAATAGTATGGTATCCCTTTGTCCATATTGATGCATCTTTAAATGTTAGTTGCTGCTGAAGATTCCGTGTGGGAGACCTGCTATCATTATACCCTAATTGTGGGCATTGGAGTACCATCTGATTAGCTAGGGATGATGGACTTGATGGACTCTAGGTCCAGGAGGCGGGATAAGATGGATTTGGGACATCATTTTTTAAAGTATTTAACAAGAAAAGTGGAACTTGTGTAAACTCAAACACAAAAACACCAAAAATTGTATTGTACAAGTCTTCTGATGCAGACAGGATTCTGATTATTTCTTAAATTAGAATTGCCTCTTTTATCATGTTCTTCTGACAGCTTAATTTACTTAATTGTTTCTGATAATGTAATGAGTCATTTCTTATTGAGTCTTACAAAAAGTAATTTTAAAATTAGTTTTATTTCTTTATAGGTATTTGAAGAAAGAAGAAACTTGTTGGGGAAATGGGTAATAATCTTTTATTTCAATTGCTCTGTCAATCTCGCAGGCTTCAATATTTATTGTACAATAACTAGATGATATTGGGAAATGTAAACATACTCCAAAACCCTTACAGTCAGCATTTTTTTTTACCATAGAACATAGTGTATGAATTGTTTTAAAAAGAGCATAACATTTATTTAAGAGTATTTCCGAAATGGTACACTCACAGTGCAAAAGATTTTTACTTCTATAGTTCTATAATTCCTCAATTATAGGAATTGTCTGAAGGACATTCATTTGGGAAGGATGATTTAGAGGTCATTTATCCCTTATACTATACATAAACAATGTATTCTAGGTCTTCAAACAAATATGTTCCCCAGTGTGTATTCAGTATATAACAGTGTTTTTATCATGCCACTTCTGTGAAATTCTCAGTAGCACCTGACTTTCTTATCTTAGGAACAGAGTTTGAACTAGGTGGCCAGTGATCCACTAGAAAACTTTCGTATCTCTCAATATCCTTCCTTCCTTCCTTCCTTCCCTCCTTCCTTCCTTCCTTCCTTCCTTCCTTCCTTCCTTCCTTCCTTCCTTCCTTCCTTCCTTTTTTATATAGCCTCCCATACATTACTTTAGCAGCTTACAATAACATACATCAAATATATTACAAACAAAGTGATTGAGGAAAATTATCATAGACATATCTGTACCTTAAGGGGTATCTTATACAACGTTTCCTGTTCTTCATCTAAAGACAGAATGCAGAATAATGCTCTTGTTATAGGAAGGCATATTCTGATTAAACGTTAAGAGTATTTTAATAGTAAGAGCAGTTTGAAAGTGGAACCAATTATGGAGGAAATGATGGGCTTTCTTTAGTTATATGTTTTCTAGCAGAGGCTGGACAATCATTTGTGGGAAATGTTTTAGGAGCTTGACAGTTCCTTTCAACTCTTATGATTCTATGTTGTTGATTTTAATAAAAAGTGCAGTCTACTTTTGAATGGTATCCAGTGTTGAGGACAAAGCAAAATGAATCCTGTTTTTATTATGCTCATGAACTGCCCACAAGTACCTAGATAATCCTACTAGAGGCAGAATGTGGCCTGAATGAATTATTGGCATTCGCGTCCTTTGCAACAAGGAAAGGTGCAGAGAGCTCTTTCACTTTTGGAATTAGCTTAAGTTCGTAACTGGCTTTGCAGCTTATTGCTTGTAAACTATAATGAGGGAAAGTCATTTGTAAATGGTTCTCCCAGAACTCATGAAAATCACAACTCAGTTCTTTCCCCACAGTTTGACAAGTGGACAGACAGTCAAAGGCGAAGAATCCTGACAGACTTCTTGGAGCACTGCTCCCTTTCACAACTGAAATTCTGTTTCAAACTGCTGCAGGATCAAGTGCCAATTGAAGCATTGGATTTCTCCACCCAGCTTCCCCGAGTGTTAACTTTGTACATCTTTTCTTTCCTGGATCCCCGGAGTCTCTCCCGATGTGCCCAGGTAAAACTCAGCATGTTGGAAAGGATGCATCGGAGAGATACAAAGCTGAACTCACTGGGTAGGTTTAGCCTAGAGAAGGGAAGGCTAAGGGAATTATGTTAACAGATTTCACATTTTTAAAGGAGCTGAGGCAAAACAATAGTTACCTATGCTGCTTCATAAGAGGCACAAAGAAATGTCCTACTTAATAGATATTGATTATAGTTTAGGAAATATTTCCTACTGGAAAAGCTCTTGGTCAACAGAATGAGCTGAGTAAGGAAGTTCTAATGAATTTCTTTTGTGTAGGTTTTCACACTAAAACGGGTCAACTCCTATATGTCTTGATGGGAACATGGGAAGTAGATTAATTATCTGAGTCTTTTCCAGCTAGCAATTTTACAACACTTGAACATAATTGCAAGATCAATTTAGAGTCACAGTGGCATTGATGAATTTCCAACTCATTGTTCAGGCTCATCAGCATATCTAATTTAGGTTCTAAACTTCGTGCATCTAGTTTCCGGCAAGTCCAGTTAAAAGATTCCCAAAATATATGTTTCACTTGTGTCCTTGGAGACCCATTTTATGTCAGGATAAACAATAATGGGCTAGAATTATAGTCTTCCCTATCCTTAAGACCTTTGGATGGATACAATTCTAGTAATGGTTGGCTAGAATGACTGCTAATTGTGCTAGCTTAGGATCATGCCAATTGCAGTTTAATATATGTACAGTGGATCAGATTGGGTTGTAAAGTAGCCTTTATCGGTGACTAGGAGAACTCTTAACTCCCTTATAAAACACCTGCTTTATGTGCAGAAGATTTCAGGCTCTCTTTTAAAAGAGATTGAGTGATCAAGGCTGGGAAAAACCCTGGAGATCATTGCTTGTGAAATGGCTTAATGGCTTAATGCAGTGCTAGGCAGCTTTGTATGTAAATCAGAGCAACTTAATAACATACTTAATAATTCTTTTTTCTTATTGATGCAGTTATTCTATAAGATTCTTCTTAAAGCAGCATTGACCAAAATGTTTGCAGGAAATACATCTAACCACATACTGCAAATGTGAAGATATGCAATTATGAAATTAACACTGACATATACAGTACTTCAAAAGTCCAGAGTCTAGGTTGTATCAAGTAATATATATATTCAAATAAACACTTCCTTAGAATTATCAATTTGAATTAAAAGAGTATTGTGTTTTAAAATGGCCAAAATGTGCTTGTTTTTGGAGTTTATGCTTCATAGCTCATAGGTTTTTGCTATGATATACTCCTTTGAAACACAATAAAGGTCTTTTTTGGCATTTTCAGGTAAATTGGCACTGGAACTACTTAACCCAGCTTGATCAACTCTGGATGCCAAAATGTCTGCGGTTTGGATGGCATATCAGCTTCTCTCCAACTCCATTTGAGCAAGGAATCTGGAAGAAACACTATATTAAGAAGGTAGAAGAATTTCGAGTCACCAGACCTAAGGTATTTGTGGAACCTTTGGGAGATGAGTATTTTGGGTAATAAATCTGAATGTTTGTATTATATACTAGCTGTACCCGGCCAAGCGTTGCTGTGGCTCAGTCTGGTTAAATGGAAAAGAAAGAAAAGAGAAAGCGTACGTTTGTAATATGTTTAATTTCACAATGCTTGTGGGTATACAATATTTTTTGTTGTTCCATTGTCTGTGCAGATATATGCGTGTGTTGCTTTTACGTCCAACAGATGGCGCTGTTTTTCAAAAAAAGCATGTTTTTACCTGTCACAGGTGTGACATCTATATAATAGTAGGTATATAAAAACACACGCGTATTCGAATGCAACATTGTGTCAAAATTTCAAAGCAATCGGTGAAGAACCTTCGGAGATTTAAGATTTTGAACAAACGAACATTTACATTTTTATTTATATAGATTGGATGTTTGAAATTTCCATATGCAAGTTGTTTTAGTGAACATGTGAAACATTCAGGCTTATAATTTCATATTGAAGTAGAACAGTTTTATAAGATTGTACTAGATGCTATTCTGAAATTCTGAACTCTCACAAAGTGTATAATCTCCCAAAAATTCATGTGTGGATATCTGAGCTGGTGCTTCAGAGCATTTACATATATAAAGGCATAGTAACATTAATGTTAAAGGAAGGTCTATGTTTTGATGATAGAGCACATTGTTTGCATAGAGACAGGTCCATCTGTATTCCCCAACAAATTTATATTGTGTTGGGAAAAAACTGTTCTCAGATGATGTTGAAAAAGCTGGAGCAGCTTTAATATAACTCAGTTATATTTCTAGTACATAATTTGAAATCATCCATTTAAATGCAATGGCCAGAGATTCTGGCCATATTTAATTTGTAAAGATGGGTGAAATTTATTGCTACAAGGTATAATGATGGTCATTGACTTGTTTTGCTTTAAAACCTAAAAACAATTTCACATGAATATATTTATCATAGCTGGTCATGACCTCTAAAGAACATTTACACAATCAGAATTAATGTGCATCAAAATATTGGTACTTGACAACAAAATATAAAGGAAAATGTTTTGTTTTCATTTCTAGTTAAGAAGGGAGAATCTTGGATTGTTCAAGATAAACTAAATAAACAGAGCCATTTTGTCCAATTCTTTTATGCCTTCAGGATCTGTAACAGATTCAGAGAGACTGTGAATTATGGTGACTCAGTGCACTACTACCAGTGCACTACTCTTTTCAAGCAATAAATAGAGATACTATGGGGGACATAAGGGGAGAGACTCAGAGTAATATGGAATATCTATAACAGCTTTTGGTTTACTTTGCTTATTTTTTACTTTCTTTAGACCCCACCAAAAAATGGTTTTGTGGTGGCTGATGTTCAGCCAATAACAAAAGATGTCCCAGAAATAAAGCAGTCTTTGTTGTCAGTCCTCGAATCAGCATCTCTGTTAAGAAGGAAGATAAACAAAGAGAAGAGAGAGCTCCCGCCTTGGCGTTCATCAGATAAGCATCCAACAGATATCATCCGTTTCAACTATTTGGATAACTTTGATCCCATTGAGCAGGCAAGGCAGGCGTAAGACACCTTTCTCCTACAGTAATTTTCATCAATGTCTGTTTTTCTCTGGCATCAAAACTAATGTTATGTTTGACGTTACATTGCCATCAACACCAGCAGGAACTGGTGAAAGGATTCTCCTGTTTATCTTCAAAAGCCAAACCTTTTATTCACTATTTCATCATGTGTATCTCCTTTCAAGATTAATGGCCCACCCTAGTTGGACTCTAATTTCAGTCAGTAAAATACGAGCAGGGGTTCTTGTGATGCTCAGATGTTTTGTTCAAGCCTGGGCTCCACCAGAATTCTGAAAAAGTCATAGAAGAGTTGCGTTGTTGTCTTCAGATATGCTTAGAGCAGGGGTAGGCAACCTTGGCTCTTTTATGACTCATGGACTTCAACTCCCAGAATTCCTGAGCCATCCATGCTGAGGGGAAGGGAGAGGTTTCCAAGCTGAGCCATGCTGGCTCAGGAATTCTGGGAGTTGAAGTCCACCAGTCATAAAAGAGCCAAGGTTGCCTACCCCTGGCCTAAGTCCTCCTGTTCTAAGCGGTGAGCCTCCTAGACCAGGGGTAGGCAACCTTGGCTCTTTTATGACTCGTGGACTTCAACACCCAGAATTCCTGAGCCAGCCATGCTGAGGGGAAAGGGAGAGGTTTCCATGCTTAGCCATGCTGGCTCAGAAATTCTGGGAGTTGAAGTCCACGAGTCATAAAAGAGCCAAGGTTGCCTACCCCTGGCTTAGAGCAACTCCAAGCACTGAGTATAATCCCGATGTCAACGCTGCAAATAGTGTATATTCTTGCTTTGACAATAATGTGCTAGACACCCATTGTGCTAGCAGCAAGGCCTCGAATACCCCAAAGGTGTCGCCAAGATTTTCTGATATTTTAATTGTTTGATATTTTCAGATCAGAATGAGCAAAATCCGAAATCATTTTGCAGCCACCTGCTAATAGCACTTTCAAAACAAGCCAACTCCAAGTTATGGATTTCAAACTGATTTTTAAAATTCTAGGAACTCCATAATCCTGAACCATCTGCATATCTGCTCTTAAGCCCTCATGCAGTTCAGCTGTGGGCCTGCTTTCTCAATTTCATTGAGACCAGGCTCATTTCAGAGCTAATGCTTTTGTCCTAACCAGTCTCACTGCAGGTCCTGGTATCACTTGATCCACAAATACATCTCCCCCATCCTGTCTGTCTTAAGAAGCCACTGTAGCTTTATTTAATATATCCATTTTCTCTACTCTTGCAGGAGAAGAAAAGGAGGAGGACTCACCCCAGACCTCAGTCAGTCAGCCTTTCAGAAAAAGAGGAAACCAGGCAGTGGAACATACAAACTCAGAAAAGCAAAGTCTCTGGCAAGTATTGTGATTGGTTGACTGTGTAAGCCAAGCAACAGACTCAGTGAGGAGTCCGACCCTCGGCTATTGGCAGCTTTCCCAATGCCCCTTTATTTGTGCCCCACTGCATTTTATTGCTGTTTGAGTGTAGCAGCCTACAATTTAACCATCAGACCTCAAAGCTGCTATTTAATCTTTGCATATCAATTGTTATCACGGCTGGCAAGACAGGCCCTTTTCGGACAAAATATTTTTTGCTGGGTAGGACTCACAGGAGGTATCCTTGGGAATCAGCTTTTAAAGACATAGGCAATAGAGAGAATATAAGCGTGCAGAATAAAGCCATGAATAAAATTATATGTTCTGCTGGACAGTGTAATTAAGTTTTGTGATTTCCCCCCCCCTTCATTAATGATACTTTGCTAGGATGGGAACAGCAGCGCACTGACAAAAGACCTCTTAATAGATAGAGTGCCTTATTTCATTTTATGCATATTTGGAAAGTATTCAAGAGAATCTGATTTCAACTTATGTTAAAATTCCTTGTACTAAAGCCCTAAGAGATGGATGTGTATGGAAATTCTCAATCATTCAGGTCATGGTTTCCTCAAAGGTCTTTTTAAAAGACAACTGGACTTTCTTGGTTTTTTCCTTGAAAACATTTCACTTCTCATCCAAGAAGCTTCTTCAGTTCTGGCTGAATGGTGGGGAATGGAAGGATTTCAGAATGGAAAGGATGAGAAGTGAAACATTTTCAAGGAAGAAAACAAGACAGACTAGCTGCCTTTTGAAAAGCACCTTTGGGACTATGATACGGATGTTCAGCATCCCCCTTCCCCTGTTAGTATTTATCTCACAGTAACAGAGTATTAGATGCTAAATGCCCCCCTCCTCCAAATGGGCTAAGTAATGAGGGCCTTTTACTGGATTGCTCCTATGTTTTGTCTCACTAACCCTGAGTCCTGGGGTGCATTTTGGTTTCTGAGGAGTTCCAGGAGATGAAACAGAAAAGAGTTGCATAGAGTGCTGTTGGAGAAAGATAAAGAATAAGTCCTACTTAACATACCTAAGAGCCCATGCTGGGATTACATTGTGGTGATAAGAGAAAACAAAACATAGCCATTTTTCTGCTCTTACTGCACAGATTGCTCTCTGCCAGCCCCATTTAAAGTGACCCTTGTTCGTGGTGGGATAAGTAGCAGAATCATCTACACAGCGTCTCTGTAAGGTATCTAGTAGACAAAATGACTCAGAGCTGGATTCTGATTGGACAGTCCTTTTGAGATGACAGAAGCAAGGTCTTGTGTGGTTAAGTGAGACAGATTTGAACTTATAAATCCTGAGGAAGTGGACAGTATCCTCAGATGCTAACCTGCTACCTTTTTTTTTTAGATCTCTGTTCCTCTTGATTGGTATACACTGACTGAAAGGTGATAGATGGTTGGGTCCATGCTGTAGTCATGGTTTCACAGACCATGTGCAGTTTTGAAGGGGGCAGTGATGTGCCACTTCCTCTAGAGCTCTTCACAGAATTTTTATTCAATCTCTAACCTTTTCATTTTAGTGAAGTTTGTTGAGAAAGTGGTGGATTGTGACTACAAAGGGTCCTGGAGTAAACTGATTATCTGGACACCTTTCAGTCAGATTTCAGGCCCAGGCATAGTAGAGGAATAGCAATAGTTGTCTTTGTTAATGACTTTTAGTGGAACTATGACCAAGATTCTTATTGATCTCTTTCAGTCATCAGCCATAGCATAGAATATAATAGAACAGAATAGAAGAGTTGGAAGAGATCTTGGAGATCTTCTAGTCCAACCCCCTGCTCAGGAAGGAAACCCTATACTATTTCAGACAAGGAGGCAAGTTGTTCCACTGGTTAATTGTTCTAACTGTCAGGAAATTTCTCCTTAGTTCTAGATTGGTTCTCTCCTTGATTAGTTTCCAAGTATTGTTCTGGTCTGCCTGCAGTGGGAGGATAGTGCTGAGGTAGTGTCTTCCTTTCTCTGTGTTTGAGTCCAGTCAGTGTTGATGAGAAGAGTTTGAGTCCCAGCCCTCTGGTCTGTGGGGTACCTCTGGGCATTACACCCTCATCCTTTCTGTTAGGTACCGCATCCATTTAATCATTCAGTTTTTTACTTGTTCAGTGTCATAATTATATTCCAGTAACACTTTCTAAATAAGTCCAAAAGGGCTTATGAATTTTGAGGTTGTTACTTTTTGATCAGGTTTCTGAATGTTCCATCTTGATTTACCATAGCAATTGCTTTGAATTATGTTACGTATTTGAAGATATTGGAACCAATGAGATATTTCTAAATCATTCTAAGGTGAGACAATTGAAAAAAATCATCTTTGTTCTATTAAAGATTTAATCTTGAATTCCTTGGAAAAGTATTTCCAAAATAGATCTTCACCCTTCCTGACTTATCATCATTGCTTCTACTATTATTGTTATCCTTATTAATGTGGCCTTTTATAACCTAATGTTAAATCTGAAAATATGGACACCTATATGCTTCCAAGCTACATTGTCCACTATGGAATAACGCCAGTGTAGATATGTTTAGAATTTTGTTGAGCCATCCATTATAATGATTTCGTCATTTGTACATATTTGAAAAGTAATATGGTTAATTATTGATTAAGTAATTAATAAGTAATTCAGTAATTATTTTTGATTTAAAGCTGGAATGAAATCCCCAATATGTGAGGGTAAAAGATTAACCTTTTAAAACAATGCTTCAAAACATTGGATTCCCCAAAACACCTTCAGGTGTCTATCTTTTTCCTTGCTCTGAGAAGACTTACCAAGGCTTTGTAAATTAACATGTTTTACCTCCTCCTCCTTTAGCATCCTAATACTGAATTATCAAGAACCCAGGACTGTGGGAATCAGGTATATTGAAGCCCATTGGAGCATTTGCTTTCCATTATTCATTACGTGCTACCTCTGTTTTTGTGGGCAGAGAGGCAGGAGCAGGTTCCCATTCTGCCAGCCATCCTATCCTGTCATGCAGTATCAGTATCTTTGACACTTTAAGCTCTAGCATGCCCATCTTCTGCTCTTTCAATTGCTACCTGCCAATCATTTTGCAAATTAATCTCTGTCATTCACATATTGTCTCTAACTGTAGTCTTTTCAACCAAATGCCACAGAAATGGAAAATGCTGCTATTAGCCTTTCCAGAGTTAAACACGGTCACCAGGCAAGCTTTATCTGCCACAATCTCTTTATAATAAGTGCTAGAGAAGATATTAAACAAATAAATTAAGGCTGCAATCCTAAAGTATGTCTCCTTCTGATTGGAAATCATAAGTCTTGTTGATTAATGTGCTTTTTTGTTTTGCATCACTAAGTACTAGCTATCTTTGGGGTTAATAAATAGTATCTGCAAAGTATGACTTCAAAATTTTGGGTCTGAAATCACAGGCCATGACAGAATGCTCTGTCATAGAAAGATGAATGGCTTCCTGCGGATGTCTCAAAGTAGCATTCTTGCAAAGAATCAGTGACTGTCAAGTTTTCATCATGATGGGTGACATGCAGGCTGCATAGATAAATTTTATAACCTACAAATATCTTGAACACCCAAAGTTTTGACAATGGCATTTTCTGTCTAATCCCCCTGCTTGTTTGAACCAGTAGTACTGCTGGAGACCAACGCAACCATATGTGAAACAATTCTGTCATAGCATGAATGAGACAGATGAATGAATATTTGGATCATATGTTTTCCTGCCAAGAGGGACAGGTGAACAGAATATGGACATTTATTTCATGATCTTTTTATGACATCTGAACTAAAAGTCTAGTGCTGTGAGCCATAGCTTGATTTTTGTTTCTTTATGTGGGGAGAAGCAAGCCAAGGATCCCAATTCAGACAGCACAATAAATTAAGACAGAGCTTCAGTGATCTGTTTATCTGCTCCTGGTAGGAAGAGTGAACAAGGGTTTGAAAAGAATCCACAGGCACAGCAGGACATTAGGGATAAGTTAGAGACTTCCAAAACTTTAATTTAAAGTTAATGTTGTAGAGTCCGAGGTGAGTTTTAATAGTTTAATAGATGTTTTTATTCCAAATTGTTATTTGATTCAAAGAAAGGAGATAGCTGCATTTCTGAAGTTGGTTCATTCTTCCTCTCATGTTGTGATCATATTGCTTTTATCTTATGGGGAAAAATTCTCACCTATTTTTTTTCAGGTATTTGTAGTTTATTTGTAAGACTATTAAAAGATTCTTTATAGCTTCATTAAACCTCACAACAAGAGCTTCATTCATTCATTCATTCATTCATTCATTCATTCATTCATTCATTCATTCAATTTCAATAGCCACCCAACTCAACCATGTGACCCTGGGCAGCTTACAGTTCTAAAATTACAAAATAATTAAAAACAATAAAGACTAAAAACACCCCCCAAAATATAGGTGTATACAAACATCTAGAAAATATATATAAACAGCAACTAAGAAAATTGTTTCCTCTCATTCTTTCTTTCTCTTGCCTTTTTACCTGTCCTCCCTTCCTATTAACTATGGGGCAAACCCATGGCCTAATGGATTATAGCGTATTTGCGGGGAAAGGTGGGTACTGTAAGAGGGCTTGAAGAATTATGGAGATCCAGCAGCTTGGCTCCTGCCCCATCCGGACATAGGAAAATGCTAGGTAATGCAGCTGAAACTATAGCTTTCTATTGCTAGCTTTACTTTCTCATTTTTAACTCCCTTAAAATTAAACGCACCTTCAGGGTCCTCCGGTTCACTAAGGGTGTCTATCTGTAGGGTCAAGGGGAAGCAAATGATGAAATGAACATCATAATACAAATTCTGGACATTGTATGTAACTTACAAGAACAAAAAGACAGAGCTTGCATTGTGACATTACAACATGCATTTCATGGTTTTGCTATTACTGTGTTTAGGAATGGATGACTATGTCCTTATACACTCATCCACATCCCTTAGCAGAAAATACTTGACAATCCACAGCCAAATCTAGGCTCAGTGCAAGGTACCTCTTGAAGTTCATCTATCTTTTTCAGTTGTATCACTAACACCATGGAAGTCAAAGCTTCATTTTCATGTTTACCAGAAATGTCATTACTTGCTTTTGTTCCAAATTTCATGTTCATCTGCTTTGTTTCCTAGATGTCCCTCTCAGCAGAACCTGATTCACAGGCAGAAGTGGCAGTTCGCCCAAGCTGGGCTCTGCATCAGCCAAACAGCTGCCCTCTGACTAAATCAACAGCTAAAATGTTTGCTCAGAGTGCTCAGTGGAATGCTGAAATACGTCCTGCGCCTGCTCGAAGGCCAGTCCCAAAGCTGAGTGAGAAAGGAAAGAAAGCCTTTACCCGAACTAGCAGAAGCTCACCAAGTCAGTAAACTGTTATTCATTTAAAATAAATATGGGGTGGATGGTTGAAAAGGAGAGAGGGTTGAAGAGAAAATAGAGGTGCTGTCTGCTCTAATGTTTGTGTCTTGATTTGAACTTTAGGGAGACCCCATTTGGATCTCTCTTAAATATGAATGCTGCAGATCGGGGGTCCCCAACCCCCGGGCCATGGCCCACCACCAGGCTGCGGCCCGTTCAGAACAGGACTGCGGAAGTGGCGGGCGAGGGCACACGTGCTAGTGCTGTGCATGCATGCCTACAGCTTGCGCAAATGGAGCTGTGCACACTCACCTGCCATTCACGTGGAGCCATCCCCTCTCCCCTCCCCCCCTCCCGCTGGTCCGCAGAGCCAGAAAGGTTGGAGACTGCTACTGTAGATGATAGAAGAGAATTTGCTTAGTTTTGCATTCCACTTGATGGTTTCCTAAATTGGTTGATCCTTGCAGGAAACAGGATGGTTGACTACATAGGTCTCTGATCTGATAGCATGTTCTTAAATGCAATGTATAGGATAAAGTTAGGAATTTTCTTTTCTTAATACTAAATTTAGTTATTTAATCTCCCATCCTCTTCCAGCATCACCACTGTTTGAAAGTCAGCCCTGGGAAGTTCCATCATCCAGCTATGTATCTGATGCAGAGGAAGAAGCTGAAGAAAAGAGAACCTCAGCATCACTACTGACTTAGTCTCCAAAAAGAAAATGTCAAGCAAAATGTCTCTTTCTCAAAGTTGGTGTTTGGACAAGGATTAAGAATCAAGTAGATAGTTGACAGATTTATCATGACTCCATTTCTACAGTGAATCAATTAACAGATATCTTGGTTTTAAAAAATTGTGAAGCCAGGGACTTGTCATGTGTCCTTGGATTGTTTCCCAGCCTTAATTTCTCAGCTGTGGAATGGAAATTGTCTTAATGTATTTCATAGGAACGTTGTGAGGGTGAATGTTATGGGATTACAAAAGCTCAATTCTGCATAGATTTATTTGTGTACTCAGTGAAATTTACAGATAATTGAGTAAATAATTGCAGACGAAGGCACTTAGAAACTAAAACAATGCATCTGAATGCAGAATTAAACAAGTTGAAAAATGGGGGAATATTAAAAATTGGTGTATATGGTTGAATCATACTAAGTAATAATAGCTAAATAACTATCATGACCTGGGCCAAATGTAATTTTCACATCCATTTTGACATCTTCTTTTCCTTCTGTCTATCATGAACAAATGCTTATATGAGATGAGTAAGTATTTAATGTATATAAGCAGAAAGACAAGGTGTATATTAAATAATTAATTATCACCTTTTCAAGTCTGCCATTATGAACATGAAGTTTGAAAACTCCTTGGAAGGAGACTGATCTTGCTTTGCTGATGCTGTTTTAAAAGCCATTCTGTAATGTGACAATGTTCACAGAGCACTGGAACATACTAGTTAACTTGGACGTAAATTAAGGAAGGTCAAATATAAGACCAGGAATATAATGTACCAATTCATCAATGATGGTTATGATGATGATTGTTTAATGTAATTCAGCATGCAGTACCTACCAGCATCTGTTCTATAATCAACCTACAAAAACATTACTTGATTTTTTTTAAAAAAACAGCAATATGAAATGGGAAGAAGGTATTAGTTTGTCACATTTTATTTTAAAAAAACTATACCCAAACAGACCGACCCAGACTCAAAAGAGCCACAAAAGCCCTGGACAGGTAATTTTTTTTTTGTATTCTCCCTAGAAGGGTTGGGAGATGTTTTATTTTTTGGGGAAAAACAAGATATAAAAGTGAAATGTGAAATGTACGTGTCTATATGTGAGGGTCAGATCTGCTATCACACTGCTTCAGCCTTGCTTTGTTTTGATGGCAGCCTGCCATAAAATGTAGTGGGCGGGAGGCGAAAGGAGGATACTGGGAGGGGGAATGACAGGAACCAGAAATGCCAACCAGAGACAACGGTTGAATGATCCAAGGACACCGGCATGGGAACGGAGTGCAAACGCCCATCAAAGAGGCACCAAATGTAGAACTGTTATCCGAACAACCAATTTGAACTTCATTGGACAATAGCAAGATGACCAAGGGGAGGGCCTGGGGGAAAGGGAAAAACAGCTTTGTGCGGGAATCTTCAGATTTGGCTTTTCTTATATTGTAATCACTTGGCTTTAGTAAAAGTATACCTTTCGCAACAAATGGAGTCAAGGATCTTTCTTTCCTAAATGTCCAAGCTGGGACAGGCCTGACACTGAGTGTTTTCTTTTTTTTCTCCATCCTATATTATATTCTATTGCTATTATTTTTATTAAATACTATTAAACAAATTAAATACTATTATTATAATCATTATATTCTACTATATTGGTATTCAATTACCCTTACTATATTAGTCTCTATAATACTACTAGCAATGCTTTTTTTTTTTTTACATTACTTTCTGGCTTAATTCTTCTCTGGGATTTCTTCTGCTTTTTCTTTCCCTATTAATGGCTAGCATGTAGAATACTTGCACTTTTCTACATTGTGCTTTGCTGTGCCTCTATACTTCTTTTTCCTTTGGACCATCCACTCCTTTTGAAAGAAAAACACCTCCATTTATTTGGCACTTTTTTCTGTTTTCTGGTGGTTGCAGAGCTTCTAAAACATACATCTCCTCCATTTTCCTTCCCCGGCTGTTTCAAAGTTGTAGTTTTATTGGCAACTCTTCTATTCTGATGCTGGGGAAAAACTCATACGGGAGGGAGGGAGGCCACATGGGTGCCTGCAATTTTTATAAGCAGCCTGCCCTTCCACAGAAGGGGAAGAGGCATCATGGAAAGGGGAACTAATGTAGCCATCAGAAGAACAATAGAGCCAGTTTGGTCTAGCGGTTAAGGCACCAGGCTAGAAAGCAGGAGACCACGAGTTCAAGTCCTACCTTAGCTATGAAAGTTGGCTGGGTAACTTTGGGCTAGTCTCTCTCAGCCCAACCCACCTCACAGGGTGGTTGTGAGGAAAACAGGAGGAGGCAGGAGTGTTGGATATGTTCGCTACCTTAAAGGTGAGATATACTGTATATAAATAAATATCCCTATTTTCAAAAAGGCCAAACACAGCAGGAGAAGTTCAATTTGCAAGGTGCTTTTTCCTAAATATTACTGTGGCAAAATCCAGCCTTTGAGGTTCTATGGGAAAGCCTTGACTACTACTACATACACATTTTGGAACTGTTGGGGAAATACTGTTTATATTTAGTTTGGAAAATTTTGTCCCCATGTGACTAAACACCTTGAAGAATGATCTGTTAAGAGTCCAGTTTACATTCATTGGGGTAGAGTAAATAAAGTAGTGTACACTTTGAGGATTAAGAAGTTTGCTCATTCAAATGAATCAAATGTTGACAAAGTGATAACAGAATAGAAAGCAAATATTGATAAAACATTTCTTATGAACCACCCTTCACTAGATTATAGGCAGTTCCAGAAAAGTTTTCAGGCAGCTGAGTTGGCTCAATTAAAAGAAATCCAAAAGTAACAATTCAGCTTAGTGCATGGCAGAACCAAATGTTGCACTTTGCATTATATTGACCTTTATATTTTGGAAAGATGATACGGTCTTACTTTGTTTCTGTAGCCTCTGATAGAACTTTGAGAACGTTAGATTAAAAAAAATGGTTTCCCTTAGTAAACAGTATGGGAACTTTGCAGGCAATGTGCATAACTTGGATACCTTCTGTAGGGCCAAAGTAGATGTTCAATGAATGTTGCCACTTCATTCCAATTCTCCTGCAAATTCCATTATTACACACTTGCCTCAAATGCGCCAGCAAGTTCTACTAGTACTGATGAGGAGGTATGGAAAGCATGGACAGAGGGTCACCTGATTTCACACATCATAAAAACCATGATATCCATAGTCTGCCAGCTATTTGGTGGAGGGAGAAGTGTTTACATGGAGACAACGGAAAGTGGGAAAATGAGTTGTGAAGGGAAAAAGCAGATTAGAAATGATAGAAAATATTTGTAGCTTGGGTGGTAGATAGGGGTGGTGGTTTGTTCTCCAAGCTTGTTGTTTAGCTTCCAAATGTTTCATCACCAGGCTAGGTGACATCTTCAGTGGGCCTTTGGTTGAAAGTTAAAACATCAGATTCCTAGTAAGTAAGTCACAGCTCCTGATTGTAAGTATCTCCAAGCTGGGCAGATGTGAGGGTTGGAAAAGAAGGTTAAGGACAATGGCGGATACCAGAGCACAATGATAAAGAGAAGACTGCAGAGGAATTGCTGGGTGTTCCCTTATCAAGAACTGTAAAAACTAATTCATCACCTGTCTATGCTGCCTTGTTGAGACCTGGCTGATTTGTCAGGCACTATATAGAGCTGGTTCCTCTATTCCAGGGGTTTTCAAACTTGGCAACTTTAAGACTTGTGGACTTCAACTCCCAGAATTCTGGGAGTAGAAGTCCACAAGTCTTAAAAGTTGCCAAGTTTGAAGACCCCTGCTCTATTCCTTATGGGAATAAAGGAAGGTGTCAGAATCTTCACGTGTAGAGAATTGTCACTTGTCTGTTTGCTGAGGCTGGGGGGCCCAGTGAGTCTGCTGGTGTAAAGGAGGATATCAGGCTTCTAACTACCGCTGCCTCTCCCATTTCTCTGACTTAATTTGAATATTTTATATTTGAGAATTTTTCTCTTATATGCTTTGTCTGGACTGCTAAAGAAGAGATTTTTGTTTTCAGCCCTTGACCCTGAATGCTTAAGAGTCTGCAGCAGGTTTTCTACATCCTTGGAGTCCAATGTTTGTTTGCTGTTACTCATGTGTCAGCTCCCCACCTCTGTCTACAGGGGACTTTGCCACATGGATTAACTCTCTTCTTTCCATGGTATGCGGTGAGGGCTAGGATTTCCCTGAATAGAAATGCTGATTATGCCAACAGCCATCTGCTACCTAAAGCCCAGCTGGAGACAAGTAAAGCAAAAAGATAGGAAAAACAAATGCTGCATTTAAACTAGGGTGCGTATAAAAAGGGATTGCACTTTTGTGTTAAGAGAGTGCAATCAACTTCTTGAAGTGACCTCCAGGTTCACCTCCAGGAGCTGGCAATGTGGTGAAGGATTGTGCATACAGAGTAGTGGCAATGGGCACGTGGTTAGTGGTAGATTGGAAGAGAAGAGTGTACAAATTCTGAGCTCCTCTACCAATTCTAGTCACATTCACTGGCATACAGTTCTCAGTCTACTCCACTATCATCTACTATTCAAAACTCTACCACCAACCCTATTCCATTTATAGTGCACATTTAAAGTATCATTAAAGAAATGTACATCACTCTTGCAAATCCTTTCCCACATTTTTATCAAAATGCTTAAATTAGGGAGAGACTGGAGGGGAGGAGTCAGAGCTCCAAAACTGAAAAATGTAAGAACAAAGAAAAGAAAAAAGATAGTCTTGAGGCGTAACCTTAGAAAGACAGAAAGGAGAGTAATGCTGTCTAATAAACAGGGGGATCACTTTTCATTTTGATTGTGGGCCCATCTGGATTTTATTTTAGAATAGAAACCTGAACATACATACAGATCCATGTTCTAATAAATCATGCATGTAGATAAGGGGGATGCTTCCTTTTCCTATGAAATAATAGCAACAATCCTTTATCAAAGATCAGCTAAACCCAAAATACCAATATGGAATACCTTCTAAACCCAAAAGAATAAAGCATATGAAATAAAATATGTTCAGAGATTTTTGTTTGACTTGTTGCCTCATGTTCATCGCAACCATACAGAATTTGGCTAGTGTAATAGGGATAACATGGTTGACTTCTGAAAGGAGAAGGCTGATGATAATAGCATACCAAAACTGGCTAGTTTGAAGACAACTGCAAATCATGTAATTCTTTCTTTCTAAGAACTGGGGAATGGAATGGAAGCCTCAGCAGTATGGAATCGCCCAGAGGGTCACAAAATAATTTGTGAATAAAGAATTGGGAAAAGGCAATTATTGTCATACTATTGTATCTCTCTTAAGAAAATGGGGAACAGTGGATTGTATTTTAATTGATGCAAAAATGTTCCCCCTTCCGTTACTTTTTTCTCTATTTCCCCAACACATTTAAATAGACTTCTGGGCAATTTAAAAGCAATGTGCTCTTAGCAGCTTGGTTTGGCATCAGATCCCAGCAAATAAATGTTTATCCATCCAACCAGAATAACTATGGAGAACTCCTTAGTAAGGGGTTTGTCCATGTCATGACCACCTTCTCTATTGTATCCCTCAATAGAAGACTCTCTCCAGGTAACTATTCAGAAACATTCCTCTGGGGTCTAGTTTCTCACGAATACAACAGAACTTCTGAAAATCTGGGTACATCTTCTCAAAATCCTTCCGGGTACATGTATGGGCCTGGTGACAGAAAATACATTTTATGATACTGGTCTTGAAAATGGTGTCAACAAGCATAGGATCACAACATCTACCCAGAAATAATTCACCTGTTGCCCTCTCAATGTGATTATATTGGCTATGGATGTTGCAAGTTGTAACTCAAAACTTTTGGTAAGCATCCTTCAATAATTCCTGATAGTAACTACAGATAGATAATACTGTAAAATATATCAGTCTATCTATATATACATCTATCAATCTGTCTGTCTTACTTTAGTCTGCTTAAAGTACTTAGCCTGAATTGGTTGTAATCTCTCAGTTTGTAATATAACTCCTAGGGACACTTAGAGGATCTACCAATACCTCATCTGCTAAATTTCTGCCCTGCCTGATTTTGTTTTTGTAAAATATTTTAAAGCATAACAAGATCTCATAATCTGAACTATAATTTATATTTCCAACATACTGTTGGAAATAAATTCCAAAGGCATTCTTAGGAAATAGAAAGATTGCTATCTGCAGTTCAGTACTTGCTTTCAAAGTTTATATATTTGTTTGAATATTTTAAAGCAAGATACTAGATAAGAGTTGTGGATTTGTATAGTTTTCAGTTGGACACACTGAATACATACGTATGAGAAATAATAGAACAATATAATTTAAGAGATGGAAGATAGTCTGCTCTAATCTGGCATTTTCAAGAAATGGGCATTCAACTTCTTCAAACACCTTCAAACCGGTGGGAAAGTCCACCATCTCCCCTGGTGGTCTATTCTATTGCTGTACAGCTCTTATCAGTAGAATGTTTTTCTTGATCTAAATCTAAATCTACATCCTTCTAAGATAAGCCAAGAGGCAGAAGTTCTCAAAGACATCAGGGATGTTCATATGAGAGACAGTGAAAAAATGTCAAGGTGGTAGCATGAAGTACAGCATGGGAAAAATGGGTGGGACTTTGATCTTGCAATGCCAGACAGCATATTTCAAGTCTCACTTTAGATTTGTCTGTGTCACTTACAGTTTTAGTGCATGCAATGCAAGGGTTGGAAAATCATAGAGATATTGTAGCCTTCCTGCCACGTTTTTATTTAAAGAAAAATTGCATTTTAGCCTAGCTTGTGCAAGAGAATAGGTCTCTTGAAATTGCATTGCCTTGAAATTTCAGAGCAATTTGCTCTTTTTTTGGACCTAGATCAACTAATTTTCATATTCATTTTATTTTTAATTATAGTCAAAAACTCCAAACCTATAAGAGCTGAAGCTATTGTGGTAGGAACAAACAATGCTAGAGCCAAACAAAATTGTTACATGACCCTGAGCAGGTGCCTTAATCTTCCTATCTCAAGGCTGACAAAACAATTATCAGAACTGTACTGGCTTTAAAAAGGTACAAAAAAAGGTTTGGGATTTAAACCCTGGAGCTGCTGAATTCCGTGTCTTCATGTATATGACTTCTTCTGCAATAAAGCAGTTATTCTAAGCTGGGTTCAGCAGAGGCTTCCACTTGGACCCTGTTTTGAAAACTGTAGGATGGTGAGTGTGCTACTATGATTAAAGCTCCACTTGTTTTTCATGTATATACAAACAAGGTGGGGCTTCAATCATAACACACTTGCCATTTTGCAGATTTTTTGACATCCATCTGTGGAGACCCTTAGAGTTGAACATATGAAAGTTCTGTTGTGAGGTCACTACTAAATGTATGGATGAATCCCTACATAGTAGAGATTTATTGCTGTATCTGGTGAGAAGTCTGACAAAGCCCTGTGACACAGTTGGGTTCAAGGCCAGCACTTAAGAAGAACAATTATGGAGCAAACAGTCAATCTTAGTATGGTACCCAATTTTGGACAGCACATAGGAAATAGTCGTATCAGATCAGGCTGTCTCTCTAATTGATAAATGACTGCACCATGGTGGTACAGTAGAATGCAGTACTGCAGGCTAATTCTGCTAACTGCCAACTGCCAGCAGTTCGAGTCTCACCGGCTCAAGGTTGACTCAGCTTTTCATCCTTCAAGGTCGGTAAAATGAGGACCCAGAATGTTGGGGGCAATATGCTGACTCTGGGCTGTAAAGTACTGTGAAGCAGTATATGTCTAAGTGCTATTGCTATTTTTTGGTGTGTGTTCTTTATGTGCAAAAATGATCTAACTCTGCAAGGGGAAAAGTGTCTGTGTTTACTAGAAGAAAAGAATTTAACCTAATACCTTTGCCCAGTGTGGTCTCCCTCCAAACTTCTTCATGACACCTTCATAGGCAAGCCAGTAGTTAAGGCGTGGAACATCTTTTCCGTAAGGCCTTGAGAAAGAGGAAGAAGCAGAAAGTGAGAACAGGGACTGAATGACTCTCCCTTAAAGAACATATTTGAGTGGCTCATTACAGAGGGAAGCTTCTGCTTTGCCACATCACAACCACCACCATCACCCCCATTTGGAAGTCATCCTGAAGGCACCTTAAATGTGAATTCTTCATACTGCCTTCATTATGGGGATTTCAGATAGATTTAGCCTGGTGTTTAGCTCACAAGAAGCAATTTCAGCTCATTTGTTTGATTTACAGTACCCAATAGCTTAATGCTATTTCAGCACTAAGGGAGGGAATGACTTTTGTTTTAACCTGGCTTTTTTCCAACAAGTCAAGATTCTGCAAGCCCGCATGGTTAAACAATCTTTGTTTTTTCTTTTCTTTTAACTCACAAAGCCGAGCATGTGGGGGAGGGTTGTTAGCTCAGGCAAGTAAGCAGTAAGTCACAGAAAGCACATATGCCATAAACACTGGGTGACTTTGCTTTCAGCTATCTGTGAAATGGGGGGGGGAGGGGAATAGTGGTTCAAAAGTAGTGGTGAGGAGAGAGGTCATGCACATTTTGTAATGTGGTAATGCTGCTGGATTGCTGTCAGCATGATTGCAAATGCAGAAGATATCTTCAGTAGTAGTAGAGCAGTGGTTCTCAACCTATGGGTTGGGACCCCATTTGGGGTCGATCGACCATTTCACGGGGGTCGCCAAGCAAGGCTGTCCGCCATTTTTTTTGTCCGCCATTTTTTTCCCCTTTTCCGGCGGGTGCCTTACCTCCCTTGGGCTGGGCCAGCTGGTGGTCGGCCTGCTCCGTCTCTGCCGCTTGCCAGCTACACCTCGGCCGGCGCAGGGGGCAGAACCACGCATGCGCGGCGCTCCCGGGCAGGGAAAGTCCTCGACTTACGACCGGTTGGGTAGTCCTCGACTTACGACCGGTTTAGTCCTCGACTTACAACCGGTTTAGTCCTTGACTTACGACCGGTTGGGGGTCGCGGCATTAAAAAGGTTGAGAACCACTGTAGTAGAGCCATGATGAGATCATTGTAGGGGCTGGGACTTCTTGAAGAGCTTCCAATCTTCTACCACAAGAAAGTTTCAGTCTAACTTTCTGAATTGACATATGTGCAGTAGCTTGTAGAATGATCTCTAGCCTGAGCTATTCCAGATATGTTTGAACTTCAGCTCTATGAAATCCCTGATGGGCCAGGAATTCTGGTAGTTGCATTTTCAGTAAATTGTAAGAGGGAAGGCTGTTCTAAAATGACTCTTTGTAGGGAAGGAAAGTGGGTGTTGAGGAATAGAAACCTGTCCCTCCAGCACTTCTGGAGGAGTGCTGCATAAATTGACCAGTGAATGTTCATCTCACCAACAAGCACCACCAGTCCAGATAGTCATCTGAAAAGCATTGTTCCAGACAACTGATATGTGTTACCGAGAGTGACCATATTGAATGTCATTGACAAGTGTTGGGTCAGAATGTACCACTACTTCTTTTGCAGCTGAGACTCAGCTTCAAAATAATAATAATAATAATAATAATAATAATAATAATAATAATAATAATAATAATAATAATAATAATAATAATAATAATAATAATAATAATAATAATAATAATAATAATAATAATAATAATAATAATAGTGAGGGTAGCAGAGTTCATGTATTATATTGATTTATGCTGCTGAAGTGTAAACTCACTGCCAGAGTGCTGGTTCTACAGGGTGCTTTTCTGGTGGTTGCCATTTCCCTCCTCCAAGAACACCCTATGGACCACCTTGAGCATCCTATGGAGGAAGCTTCTTGAAATAAAACAATGGCTACTGGTAGGAAGGCAACTACCCTTGTTTCCTTAGAAGCTCTCTCTGTGCCAGACTAATATCATAGATGGGAGATTCTGGGAAAGAAAACAGGTGCTCTGCTAGAGATTGCCATTAAAGTTGAATGGAAGGTGTAGAAGTCATGAGGACCCAAAACAGGATTCATTCATTCCTTTTCAATCTACTAATCTTTCATGTTTTAAGCTCTGCCTTTTTAACCTAGGGTTCATTAAGCTTCACTTTAGTTTTCATTGGTATTGAAAGAAACAATGCCTCCAGTCACCCAGCTTGCCTTCTCCAGTTATGCCTGTCCCCTTCTCACCTGTACATGATAATGTTGATGTAACAGCTATTCCTCTGGAAACAGGGGCTCAGGAGGAGGTCATCCCCCCGGGTGAAGCGTACTTCTACTGGATAGTGGGCTACCATTTTGGGGTTGGTCTCCAATATCCCTTTTAGCTCCAGAAGAGCATCTTTTGTTTTTTCACTACAAAAAAAAAAAAAAAAGAGTCACTGGTCAAATCATACAGTATTTTAGAATGGAGATATCTTTCCATCACTATCCGTAGAGATGACCTTGGAGAAGGAATCCAGAAGTTGTTAGGCCAACAGATATTGCTGAAGGATACATTAAACACAAGATGGGGGAGGGAGTATGAGGAAGAGACTTAAATTCCCTGGTATTTATTTATTTATTTGCTTGTTTAGAAAATTTATATTGCTGCCTACTCACACATGGCGACTCAAGGTGGCTTACAGGACATAAAAACACAATATAAAGAAATAAAAATAATAAAAAATAAAAATAATAAAATAATAACCCTACAGATGATCTTCTGTATTTGAAAATGTTACCAGAATGGAACCAATTTGCAATTACAAGACTATACATTCAACGGGCAAAGGTATAGTAATAAATATACTCTGAATTCAAAGGTGATCACAGTGATCATCATGTCAGATCACTGCAAGATCTTGTTTCAGCAAACAGTCTGAATTCTGATGTTACACATGGAATGGACTGAGCCTCTGAGTCAAGATCTAAATGAAAAGGGCCAGAAAGAGTGGATCCTGATGTCCTTTCATCACAGTTGCTGGGATGGGTCCTCTAATGACATTTTTATCAGCTGAGGATAACTCTTTAGCAAGGGGCATGATAAATTTTATTTGACTTGTTTTCTGTTTCTTATTCCTTGAATACTTTGGACATCATCCGGACTACTTTGGTCGGGTGACTTTTTCCCTGTATGATGGGCTTCCCTGATCTCAGAGACCTGTTTCCCTTTCTTCTTCAACCTTTAAGTTCATTGTACTGTGGAGTTGTTATTATTACATATTTTATTCTAGATGTATATTCAACTCAGTGTCTCTTTGTGAATTCCTACATTATCCTATATGTATATTCAACAATATATATATTGAATCCTGCATTATCAATTCAAAGCAGTGAACATACCCAATATTCCTATTTTCCCAATAATAACCACCCTGTGTACTGGGTTAGTCTGTGAGAGACTGACTGGCCCAAAGTCACCCAGATGGCTTTCATGCCTAATAACTCACAGTCTCCTTTCTAGACCAGAATCTTAACCACTACATCAAACTGACTCTCAATCTCAAACAATTCAGGGAGAACAGGATCATGAACACACAGTGAAAGAGATTTAACTTTTGATGGTAGAGGTCTGCATGTTAAATATCAAATATACTCCAGATATTGTGGAATCTAGAGAGACCCATTTGACTTACATGGGAATGGCCCAATCTTGCACATGCTGCTTGAATCGACATTCATAGTTGAAGATTTTGTAGCTCAAATTCACATTTTCCACTTTGCCAGTGAAGAGGAGCCAAAAGAAGAAGTGGTTGATCCAAGCTACCAAGAAGGGCAGGAATGTGCTGAAGGTGAAGGAGAAAGAATAAGCAGAGAAGGACTAGCTCAGTGCTGGAACACCTGCTCTGTAAGCCAAAGCCCTCAGATGATATAGCTGCAGCATTGATTCTCAAGCTTGGCAATCTTAAGATGTGTGGACTTCAACTCCCAGAATTCCTCAGACAGCATGGGGAATGATTCCTCTCCTGGCAGTCAGGAATGAAAATCTTTCCCAGTTTGGCACTTTCCAAATCTTTGATTACAACTCTGTGACCACCCTTCTCCAATCTGATATAATCCAGATATGATGCAATTGCTTTGCCCATAATTTCCTGATGTCATGGCCAAGTTGAGTGCCCCTAGTCAAACATTCCTGGGCTATACTGAAAAATATCTTGAGCTGCTGAAATTCTGCTTCCCTCATTCTTACTTTGCAGAAGCAGCTGGGACAGTGGTGGTGGGGAGTCAATGCTGGAAGTCATCAAAGAGAGCTTTGTAGTGCAAGACTTTTGCTGGATAGGCAATAAAAGCCTTCACTATTGTTGCATTTGAGCAAGCTGTTCATGTCACAGAAATTATTGACTAGCACTGTGTGGAGTCTTTTTGTACCTTACAAAAAGGATGACAAGGAAGCCATCTGGGAGTGGCAACATATGACTAGAGCTGTTGGCATTTCTTCCATGGTCTCTTTCTTGGTTAAGTACAAGGCTAGAAGTATCAGAGACTAAACAACTTTCTATAAATAAATTACTGGAGATGTTTGACTTGGGCCGGTAATCAACTTTGTTATTCATTATTTCCCTGGGTGCATTCTAGCAGGCAAAGAAACCTTGCTATCACTCTTCATAGTTATTTGGCCCTTGATTTCAATAGAATAGCACAATTATGGAGAAATCTCTAGCCAAACTTGGCTGATTTTGAAAACCTATGCAAAGGCAGTTCTCATTTGATTTGATGAGAAACCACCAGGAAATGTCTGGGCTATGGTCTAAACTGAAAATTTAAAAAAAATATGAAAAGCAATGGCAAACCACTTTAGTACAGTTGCTAAGAATAATTTGTGAACACCATGCAAATGAGACTTTACTTTTCAACAGCTTATGAATGGATGGATGGATGGATGGATGATGTGCCATCAAGTTGCTTTCAACTCCTAAGCAACCACATAGATTTTTCTCCATGACAACCCATCCCCAACCCTCTTCTTTCAAGTCTCCCAATGGTGCACTCATCGCCACTGTAAGTGGGTGGAGCAATTTCTTTTCTCTATCAATTCAGCAACCTCACAAAGGTGCTTTCATCTTCTGCCCACCAGAGGACAGCCTAAGTTCAGCTATCACACTACTAGAATAAAGAGTGAGATTTACAACAGTAGTAGTAGATTCTGCATGTGTCTGTCTATGAGTAATTTTGCTTGATTAATAGTGTGGGATGAAATCCCTTGACTTCCAGGAGTAAAAATTAATCAGAATATCAAATATTCTGTCTCAGGTTGATATATTTTAATTCATTTTTGAAGTCTTAGAGAAGGGGTGGATAAATTCTTAAGTCACAACTAAAACAACCCAACCCAAGCTAACCTGTATAGAAAACCTCCTTGGAAGCAGAACGTTTTGAGATATGAACAAGACAAATGAAGTCCTTCCATCCATCAGGCAATAAAATTTCACTGTATTGCAGAGATGTAGAAACTAACCTGATCCAAAGAAAGAACTCCAGCAGATAATATCCAATGGCATAATCCCAAAACCAGTTTGCTGAGGAAGAGGGAGGCTGCAAAAGCAAGAGTATTGGATTTTTATGAACTTTTCAGAAGGCTGGGGATATGACTTTTAAGCCCATGGTATTGTGAGAACCACATATTGCTAAGTTCATCATAAACCTCAGTATATACCAACATGGAATTGATTGAGTGCACTGATATCCCATCTTTTATTTTTCAGAGCTCACATAGGGGCTTATATGGGGTCCTGCCCTCAATTTACGCCAACAACCACCACCTTGTGAGGTGTGAAGTACTTTGGTTGGAGAGAGAGTGATTGATCCAAACTCACACAGTGAATTTCATGGTTGGGTCTCTCTGATCCAAGTCCAGTGCTTTAATCATTTAATTTTACTGGTTAGACTAGCCTCTCTCAACTGGGAGCTTTGAGGTGGTCTGGGAACAGTTGACAGGGATTAGCATTGTAAAGTCCTATTTGTGTTGAGATTAGATGTAACTTCTTGATCTGTAAAGTGATGACAGTTATGATTTACCTAAGAGGGAGGTTGAATAGGGAAAAAAAGATAACGGGTACCCTCTGTTGGAAGTCCTGTTGAAATGAGTAAGACCCAGGTCACCCCATAGCAACTGGAATGTTCTTAATCCCTGCCTCTCTAGTTTTCTGTCTCAAATAAAGTTAATGGTAAATTACTTTCATCATGATAGAATGAACTCACCTTGTTGGTATGATCTTGGTAGATGATGCTCACATTTTCACTGTGAGGGAACCAAAGAAAGCGGAAATACTCAGATTTCTTCAGGTGATTTTCTAGGTTGTCAAGAACCTACAAGATGTCCAAATTGAGAGTTGAAAGGATACATCTTTAAATTGGGTGATATTGCTCAGGTTTCTAGTTTGGTGGGCCACCTGTGTGACATGCTAAATAATTCATGTTCAAGAGTAAAATTATGAATGTACTATTTCTCACCCTTCCTCTAGATCAGGGGTGTCAAACTGCCGGCCCGCAGGCTGGATGCGTCACACCAAAACCGTCCCCACCCATTGCTGGCAATGGGAAAAAAGTCGCGATATGTCACGTCATGACACTTGACATTGTAAGTTTGACACCCATGCTCTAGATCACAGGTGTCAAACTCACCACGTCATGTGATGTGTCACAATGTGTTGCAACTCTTTTTGCATTGCCAGCAATGAAACCAGCCCATGGGCCGGCAGTTTGACACCCCTGCGATCCTCAAGGAGGCATGCATCATACTCTCCTCCATTTTTACTCACCACAACAGCTATGTGAAATAGGTAGGCTGGGTTGAGCAATAATGACCAGCCCCCACCCCCATCCCTAAGAGCTTCCTTGGTGAGGTTAACCTGGGTTTCCCTACTTTTAATCCAATATTTTAATCATCACACTAGCACTGCTTCTCCTCTGCAAAAGGATGGTTTTTTTTTCATCCTATTAATTTGCTGCAAGAAAAGGACACAAACAGTCTATACTCTTCCTAACAGCAAGGATAGTTCAACAGTGAAAACGGCTGTCATCCCTTTCACTGGCTGGACAGTTATCTTCTGGGGACGTTTAACTGGGATTCCTGCCCTGAATAGAGCAGTATTTTTTAACCTTGGCAGCTTGCAGTTTCCTTTGCTGGCTGGGGAATTGTGGAAGTTGCCAAGGTTGAGAAACGCTAGAGTAGAGGGTTAGACCCAGTAGTCTAAATGTTCCTTCTTGCTCTAGGATTCTATGGAGAATCCTCATCAATATGAAGAGCTCAAAAATACTACAGAGGAACAAGAACATTCACATGGGAGTTTTATATAGGGTATATAAAATACAGTTTTTACAGCTTAAAACTGCACTAAAACATTTCGGACACCTCGCGTTATACCCTCTTCCCCACTTTCTAAATGTTTTGCTAGCAAAATTTGATCAGTGAAACTTCATGCTACCATTGTACATGATCAGTAGTTGTTGTATGAATTAATTGCTGCTTCCTTCCGTGACTCAGTTTAAGTTGGCTTAAAAATGGCTTTTTAAAATAGAAAATGAGAGATTGGACAAACACAGCAATTTGAATTTTTTCTATGTGAAAGCTTACACCTTTGCTCTGGAGATGGGAGCCAAGACTGCAGAATTAATAAACCAGATAGCCCATTTGGTGTAGCGGTTAAAGTGCTGGCCTAGAAAGCAGGAGACTTGTGAGTTCTAATCCCACCTTAGACCTGAAAGCTGCCTGGGTGACTTTGGGCCAGTCATTTCCTGTCAGCCCAACTCAGATTACAGGGTTATTGTTATGGGGAAAATAGGATGAAGGAGTGTTATGTATGTTACCTATAAAGTAATAAAGATGGGATAAAAATCTAATAAATAAATAAACTAACTGGCAGTGACACTGACACAGTTGAGGACCACATTAGATCAGCCTCTCTCAAACTTTTTACACTGGAGGAACCCTTGAAATAATTTTTAGGCTCAGGAAAACCGGCCATCTTCTCTGACTGCCAATCATTGCCAAAGAATAGGTTGAGTTTTCTCAACGGAATAAATAGAATAGAATAATAACTTTGAATGTACACTAATCGGCATACATTAAAATGAAATTTCATTGCATACAGCTCTCAAAGGGTCATCACCTCTGATATACACTACATAAATATGACAAAAATAAATAAATACAGAATTATGCATATATATACCCACATATATTATATGACACAGAGAAACAACAGTCTAGTTCAGGTTACGTATACATGTGCATGGCGAGAAAAACGAATCTTGCGAGTTTACCAGACGGATGGCATAGGGAACAAAGCTATTACAGCATTGGATAGTCCTGCTATAAATACTTCGAAACCTCCTCCCAGAGGGGAGCAACAGAAACAGACTGTAAAGTGGGTGTGTGTGGGTCTCTAACAATGCTTTGAGCTCTAAGCACATAGCACTTATAAGGAGCATCCTGAATACCAGGGAGTGAACTTCCTATGATCTTCTCGGCTGTCCTTACCATTCTCTGTATGGACTTTCTATCTGAGGCATTGCTGCCACCAAACCAGGCAGTGATGCTGTTTGTTAAAATGCTTTCAATTGTGCCTCTGTGATAAGTGGCCAAGACAGAAGGAGAAAGATGTGCTCTCCTCATCCGACGTAGGAAATGCAGATGCTGGTTTGCACGCTTCACTAAGGATGACATGTGGAGAGACCAATTCAGATTGTTAGTTATCTGCAGCCCCAGATACTTAATACTGTTGACCACCTCCACAGCTGCATCCTTGATACTGAGTGGAGTATGACTGTATCGGCTCTTTCTAAAATCTACAATGATCTCCTTTGTTTTATCAACATTTAGAACCAGGTTTCTTTTATTGCACCAGTCCAACAGACCCTTCACCTCTTCCCTATAAGCATCTTCATTGTCATCCCAGATAAGACCCACTACTGCTATGTCATGCTTCAAAATATGATTCATAGCAGATTTGGCACAGCAGTTCCTTTCTGCAGCCAAGGAATTTGATTTGCCATTATG